CCTTGGGTTTGATCTTGAGCTCCAAATGAAATCAGGTATGGTGGCACTCAAAAGTTCAAGGTCATTCCTTGTGACATAGTGAGTTTGAAGCTAGCTTGGCCCACATGAGTAAACAGGGGCTGGAGAGATGGCTCAGTGGTTAAGAACACTTTCTGCTCTTGCAGAGGATCCAGGTATGGTTTCCAAAACCTACATGGTGGCTCATAATCATCCATAACTCCAGTTCCAGAACATCCAATACCTCTTCTGCAGACACCAGGTGTACATGCAGTGCACACATATGTATGCAAGCAAAACACTCATATACACAATAGGAAAGATATCATGCTGGTCAGTGGTGGTGGCACACGCCTTTAATCCCAGCACTTGGGAGGCAGAAGCAGGAGGATCTCTGAATTCAAGACCAGCCTGGTCTACAAAGTGAGTTCCAGGACACCCCAGGGTTACTCAGAGAAACTGTTCGTTGTCTCAAACAAACAAAAATGATGCCATAAACAAACAAACAAACAAATAAATAATAGGGGCTGGAGAGGTGGCTCAGCTGGCAATGTATCTACCATTTGAGCATGAAGACCTGACTTTGGATCCTTAACTCCATGAAGAAAGGTAAGAGAGATACATTGTAACCTAGTGTTGGACCCCCAGGCAAAGACAAAAGGAACCCTGGAATTTTTTGGCCAAGCATCATAGAAGAATCAGCCAGCTTCACGCTTGGTGACCCTGTCTCCAAAGGTTAAAATGTGGAGGGGGTGGAGAGAGGTGACTAAGAATGCTGCTGCTCCTGCAGAAGACTGAGTACAGGTCCGGAACCCTCTTGGTTGAGGGTCGCAATTCCAGCTGCTGCAGCTCCCTCTTCTGGCTTCCTCAGGCACCTGTATACATGTGCGTATACAGCCAGACATTTATACACATAAAAGAGTAAAAATAGCAAAATATGTTCTTGTTTGTTTTGTTTTTTAGACAGTGTCTCTTTACATAGCTTTGGCTGTACTGGACGCTCTGTAGACCAGGCTAGCCTTGAACTCATACATCTGTCTGCCTCTGCCTCCTAAGTGTTGGGATCAAAGGTGTACACCATACACCAGGCAAAAGGGATAAAGGTGGAGGATGATCAAGCCACAAGTATATAACACACACGCACGCACACGCGCGCACACACACACACCAGCCCCCCCCCCCAATTTTTTTAAAAGTTTTCTTATTTTTATGTGCACTGGTCTTTTGCCTGCATGTGTGTGTGTGTGTGAGGGTGTCAGATCCCCTAGAACTGGAGTTTCAGACAGTTGTGAGCTGCCATGTGGGTGCTGGGCACTAAACTGAGTCCTCTGGAAGAACAGCCAGTGCTCTGAACCACTGAGCCATCTCTCCAGTCCATTTAAGAAGATTTTTTTTTAAATGAATAAATATAAAAGAAGAGCTTGGAGTTAAGCCCCAGCCAGCACTAATATCCCTTCCTCCACTCCCCAGGTGCCGGAAGCCTCGAAAATGACAAGATGTTTTTCAGACTCAGCAGGGCCATTTGCCTCATAGGCCCCAACTTAGTGGGAGAAGACAGGAGCATAGAAGAACCGACTTGGACTGGGAGGAAGCTGCCCCAGGACCTGGACCTTTTAGAGAGCTCTCCTGCCAGCCTTTGTCTCCTAGCATTGCCATCTAACAACTGACAAGGAACCTCATATCTCCCCTTAGGGGGATCAGGGAACCAGCTCGGCCAAACACCCTGGTCTAGGGAGCATCTTCTGGCTGCTCTGTTTCCCCTCACTACAAACACTCCAAACCTCTGCAAATACTGGGATTTGGGCTTTGTTACAGTAACTGTGACCCCCCGCCCCAATCCTGATAAAGAGATGGAAGGCACTATCCCGGCTTACTTCTGTCATTGTTTGCCACTCTCCAGGCTGGCCAGCTTGGGCAGGAAAGTATGCAACACTGCATCCGAGTCCTGCAGCTTGCCTTACTGTGCCAGTGGGGCCCAGGGCCCAACAATGGTTCCCAGGCAAAGCTACAACCACAGATTCATCAAGTCTCTTACATGAAGTCTCTGCCCCCTACCCACCACAAAGAGTCTGTCTGCCCTGGCCAGGAAAATTAAGGTGGGACCCAGACCTTAAGAGCTGTTTCCAGATGACTGCTGCCATTGGAGCCCTTTGGGCTCCAGACAAGCATGACTTCCTTCACACAACAGGACGCAACAGCCATTTCCCTTGGGGCACATTTTACGATACTGTCCCCTGTGACTGCCCTTTTCATTTCTCAGTCCGGCCCTGTGGCTGCAAGGCCTCTTTTAAGAACCGTGTCGCCCCCCCCCCCAGTCTCCTCCACCTGTACAATCCCTCGTACCCCAGGATTCATCAGCTGCAGCATGAGATAACTACCTATCCCACTCAAGCTCAGTGTCCACCCTTCTCCAGTGTCCTGGATAAAGTGGGAAGGCCAGCCTAGGTACCAAGGCTTTGTCCTACTACAGGACATTCAGGGGCAGAATTGACTGAAAGCAGCCACCCTAATGAAGGGACTGATATTGAGTGTATGGTCATGATCTAGGTGGTACCAAGGCAGGAGTAGGGTAAACTGAAGAATTCCTGATGATGATGGCCACATACTTATTTATCCACTTATGAGAGTCTCACTTAGCCCAGGCTGGCCTCAAACTCTTCATGTAGTCAAAGATGACATAAATTTCAACTCTTCCTGCATCTACCTTCAAGTACTGAAATTACAGGTTTAGACCACCACCCAGACTTATCTACAGCTGGGAATCAAACCTACCTATTCCTGCATGCTAAGCAAGCACTACCAACTTCATCTCCAGCCCTGATGCTACTTTTAAACCTTTTGTTTTGTTTTTTTTGAGACAATGTCTCATGTATCCCAGACTGGCTCAGCGTTCTTTATATAACTAGGGATGTCCTTGAACTTCTGATTCTCCAAAGCATGGGACACCACACCATTTTTATTATGTTTAAGTAACTTTCTCAATGGTGATACTGATGATCATGTTCTGGCTCCATGATGATTAGAACCTGAGTGCTAAACTCTGAACCCACTAAGCTTCATCACATGCAAGATGCTTCCCTTGGCTTCAAGTCAGCACCATGGTTATCTTTGTTTGGCATCTTGAGTACTCAGTTTTAGCAAGGCAAACTGGCCTGGGACAGGTATGAATTCACCTGACTCCCTAACCTAACTCAGGTTTGGCTGCCTCTGAATTTTAGGGTCCTTCGGTTGACAAATGACCACTGGGTACTGGCAGACCAGGCCGAGCCAGGTCACCGCAGGCTGTGACCGTGCAGTGTGCAGCAACCAAAGGTGATCCTGGATGCTGCCGACCACAAGACGGAAGGAGTCCGTATAGGTCAGGGCCATGTGGAATGGGTGTCACAGGGCGCCCCACAAGGAGAACGAACTTGCTCAAGGTCACGCAGCCAGCCAAAAAGTGAAAGACCTAGGATTCAAACCAGGGCTGTCACTGCGAACCCTGGGCTCTTCCCACAGGAACCAAAGGCGTGCGGGATATGACCAGAGAAGTAAGCACGGTGCTGGCAAGAACCCCTCTGGGCACAGGTACTCATGCTTGCTTGACCATATCACCTCGGCCGGAAGTGCCTTCTTTTCAGAAACCATTTTTTTTTTTTTTTTTTTTTTTTTTTTTGGTTTTTCGAGACAGGGTTTCTCTGTGTAGCTTTGCGCCTTTCCTGGAACTCACTTGGTAGCCCAGGCTGGCCTCGAACTCACAGAGATCCGCCTGGCTCTGCCTCCCGAGTGCTGGGATTAAAGGCGTGCGCCACCACCGCCCGGCCAGAAACCATTTTTTTACCAAACCCGACAGGTGACCTGGGCGCCGGAAGTGACTTTATCCACGTGGTAATTCAGGAGGCGGAGCTAGGCGAGAAGCCCCACCCTGAGAGTGAGGCAGCGGGTTTCGGACGGTCCAATGAGGGCGGGCAGCGTGTCCCGCCCTGTAGCGACGAGGACGCGCCTGCGCAGAGGTGACAGCACGAGCGGGATTGGCTCCGGGGGCGCGGCGAGGAGGTGAGCGGGGGGCCACAGCCCGGGCTGGGGGATTCGGGTGCAGGAGGGCAGGCTGGGGCAGGTCGGGCCGAAACGGGCCGTTATCCGCGTGCCAGCGAGGTATAGCAGACGAGGGAATTGGGGCTGGGGTCCAGCGTCTGGCAATGCCGCAGGGGGCGGGCTCTCACGCCGTACTGGGCGGGGCCCTGGGACTCGGGGCTGGACGCGGAACAGCGGCGGGAGGGGCCACGGAGCTCGTGCGAGTGGAGGGCGGAGCCCAGCGGCCCGTGGAGGGCGGAGCCCAGCGGCCCGTAGAGGGGCTAGGACGACTGGGCGGCGGGGTCTGGCGTTTAGAGGAGGAGCCGGAGCAGGTGGAAGGTGGAGCCTTGGGCTCGGAGACGGAGGGCGTGGGGTCCCAGGCGTTGGGGGCGGGGCTTCAGCCGGTGAGTGGCGTGGCACCTGTGCAGGAGAAGGGGCCTAGCATTGCCGAGGGCGGAGCTGCAGGTCAGGGGGCGGAGCCGCGCTCCCTGAAGGGCGGGGCCAAGGAGCCTTGCGAAGAGCTAAGCCCAAGTAATGGCCCGGGGCGTCCACGTGGGGGCGGTCTGCGTGGTGGCCGCGCCTGGGGTCGCGGTAGACCGAGAACTCCCCCTGGAGAGATTGTGTGGGTGGAGCGGGCTCGGCGCCCGGTTGACTCGGGGCCAGTCTGGGTGCCCCGGAGGCCCCCGAGAGCTCAGAGCTGGGGGGGCGCCTCTGGCGGAGGAGACACGGGGCCGGGATGGGGTGTGCCTCCGGAAGACCGGGGCTCCCCAGAGCCGCCTAGCGGAGATGTGTGGGTGCCTCGGGGCCGGCCACCTGCAGCAGCCGCAGAGGTGTGGGTGTGCTGGACAGGAGGCAGCTGGGTGTGGCGCGAGTGGGGTCGTCCCGGGACTAATCCGGTGCAACCAGATAGGGTTTGGACTTTGCGTAAAGGGGCTGGTGGGAACTGAAGAATGGAGATGGGGACCGGGAGGAAGGGAAGGTCTGGTATTGAGTAAAGGGGCGGGGCCCTGGCTGCTGTGGCCTCCCCTGACCCCCTCCCCTCGCTGCTGGGGTCCTCGGCCAAGCCCCCTTCTCACTGGACTGGTAAGTGTGACACAGTAGAGCCCAGGGGAATAGGGTGGTGACAGAGGGATTCCCAGTAACAGGCAAGATACAATGGGGGTGGCATCCTCCTGATAGTGACTGAAGTCCCATGACCCCCCCTCCTTGGTCGGGGGAGGGGAGCTGTGCCTACAGAGACATGAGGCTGAGCTGGGTCCTGACAGTACTGTCCATTTGCCTGAGTGCCCTGGGCACAGCCACGGGGGCCGAAGGCAAGCGGAAGCTGCAGATTGGAGTGAAGAAACGTGTGGACCACTGTCCCATCAAGTCTAGAAAGGGAGATGTCTTACACATGCACTACACGGTAGGTATCAGGGTGGAGGTTCTGGGGCTCTGTCAGTCTCTGGAGACCAGAAAGGACTGGGAATCCTATTCTTCTCTCAACTAGGTAGATGACCTTGAACACATCCCTCTTTGGCCTCCTTTCTATGATTCTACCTTGTTTCTCAGTTTACTCATCAGCTAAGTGTTAGCATGAAAATTACTGTACATTAGCTACCAAGGCATTGTCCCAACTTTTAAGGAGTGTAACCACCAGTGCTGTGGTGACCATGTTGATGGGGTGGGGAGAGTGGCTGGGTGAGGGGGGTTTTGGAGTGGTCACCTCTCCTTACTACTTTTCTGATGGTCCCACAGGGGAAGCTAGAAGACGGGACGGAGTTTGACAGCAGTCTACCACAGAACCAGCCCTTTGTTTTCTCCCTCGGCACTGGTCAGGTCATCAAGGGCTGGGACCAGGGGCTGCTGGGGTGAGTCTGGGGTCCATGTTGCAGTGATCCAGGAAATAAGCTGTGGGAGGAAAGGCCCATTTGTGGGGCAAGGGCCTGGGTGTGTGGGTGCCTGACATGCTGAGCATGTATCATCCTGCAGGATGTGTGAAGGGGAAAAGCGGAAGCTGGTGATCCCATCTGAGCTGGGTAAGAGGCCCTTGGGGTTAGGGGGATTGTGTGTGTGTGTGGTGGGGGCACTTAGATGTACCTCAAGTGGTTAAAGCCACTTCAGCTTCATTGGTCCTCACACTAGTCATAACTGGTGAGGCCTGTACTCAGCTGTAGTGTGACCTTCTAGACCTTTGGCATCCTCATCCTTCTCCATTACATCCTCCACTTCTGCCTGCCTATGGCAAGATCATCCTTTATGTGGGCTAGAAGGGAGCCTGGCCACAACTTACTTTGTGTCTTTTTGTGTTTTTGACAGGGTATGGAGAGCGGGGAGCTCCCCCAAAGATCCCAGGTAATACCCCTAACACCCCCACCCCATGACTCTCCCAGGGTCCCAGGTCCCAGTCTGACCACACTTTTCCCTCCAGGTGGAGCAACCCTGGTGTTTGAGGTGGAGCTACTCAAGATTGAGCGACGTTCAGAACTGTAGCAGGCTGCAGAGGGGCAGGAGACCCCTGTCAGGGACCAGATTGCTTCCAAACAAAACAAAACAAAACAACCTTTAAAACCCCAAGAGTGAGTCTGTGTTTCTTTGTGGATCCTAAGAGACTTAGGTTAAGACCTTAGCTTCAGCATTGGGGAAATAGCTCAGGGTGGGGCACTGGTCTAATATGAGGAACACACACACACACACACACACACACACACACACACACACACACACACACACGTTGGATCCCCAGCATAGGGGAAGAGAAACAGCACTAGCCTCAGTCTCAGGTTTCCTGATAATTGCAGGGCCTTGAGCTATAGCCTCAATGGCCTGGAGACCCTTACCCAGTGCAGATAAAAACCCTTAAGATTGCTGGTAGCAGCACAGCTCCCCAGCCACTTGGCATACCAATCTGGGAGCCAGCATGGGTTATCACCATGGCTACATGGCCCACAGGAAGGCCTGTGGTCACCTGGGGAGCAGCTGAGCTGGTGACAATTGTAGAGCAGTGTGTCCCCCCTAAAAGACCAGCCAAGCCTCTTAGCTGCTCCAAAGGCGTATCCTAGCTTTATTTTTAAAGGGCCTGCGCCGCAGAATCAATATAAAAACACAAAAAGTCCCATCAGTTTAATAACAATAAAAAACCCCAAAAATGGAAAACTGAGGGCAAGGGAAGTGGCCCCTAGGCAGGGGCACGGGGATCCCTGCTCATGGCACCAGGCCTGGCTGCAGGGCCCCCGGTATTGCTGTTGCTACAAGGTTGAGGGGCAGCGATTGTCCTGTGGGAGCCATGGTCATCTGGGTCAGGACCCTTACTTCTTCTGGGGTGTGCTCAGCTTCTGCATGCCCCGGATCTTGTCCAGCAGGCCAGAGATGAAGGCCTAGATAGGAGGGGGTGTTAGAGAGGCTAAGACCCAAATGATAATCTGCCACACATACATACCCACCCTGAGGTCAGAGAAAACGACTTACCTCAGTGGGTTTGTAACAGTCAACTAACAGCTCCTGGTGAGGGAGAACAGAGGGAGTTCTTGGTGACGGGGGCTCACAGTTCACCTGTACCCTCCCAAGAGACCGAGGCCACTTAGGAACGTAGCTAGGTTAAGTTCCACGAGCCTCATTTTTCCAGAGGCGGAAGATGACCCAAAGCAAAGAAGGTATGGCACCAGGGCCATGCTTCCCCAAGGGGCAGTGTCTCCAGGCAGCCTTCCACTAGATGACTTCAGCTTACCTTGACTCTAGCAGCCCGGGTATCATCACTTTCCATGTCCAAGAGTTCATCCACATCTATCTCCAGCTCTGGGATCTCCTCTTCCTGGGGTAGGGGTGGGAAAGAAGGACAGTGCCTCAGCCAGGAGAAGATGTGCAGAGGACTCCCTAACTCAAAACCAGACCAGCCTTCCTTGCCCAGCAGAAGACAGCTGCTCTGGGAAGGAAAACAGATCAGGTCTGTGCCAAGGCAAATTGCCCAATGAGGGGGAACTTCCTGTCCCTGCCAGTGGGCACCAGGGGCGCCAGACAGACAGGGCTGGGGACGTTGGGCTTTGAACCTAGCAGATGTGCCTTCTCAGCATCCAGGACCTCTAGCTTTCCAGAGCACTGGTGGGGCCAGCTGTCCCAGTTCATCACAGTCCCCTCCCCTCCCCCAAACACCTGTCACAGCTTCCTGGGAGTGAGGAGGAAGTGAAGGGTGAGGGGTCAGTGGGAAAGACCCATGCTTGATAAAGGGGAAACAAAGAGCCCATGCTTTGAGGAGAAAGGGGTACATCCCCCTCCCCAAGGGAACAGCTATCCCACTTGGAGCCAGCTGCATTCCAGGGCTGGGCTAGGGTAGGCATTACAGGGCAACCCCACTCCTCCACCCTACCCCTGGGGGCCTGAGTCACCATCTGAACAAGCAAGGAGTCATGGGGTGGAGAACCAGAGCCGGGGAAACTGGCTAACCCGTGTCCACAGACAGGCAGCATGGCAGGCTAGCCCACTAGAACAACTGGGATCCTTTATACACTTGAAACAGTTACACTTGTGCCTCTCAACTAGTGTCTCTTCTAGCCCAGACTAGACTACCCAGATTAGACCTTTCACTGTCAGCCCAAGCTAGACTGCTTTCAGTCCCAGACCGGGCTATCTATCCCTCTAAGCTTGGGGATGACACCATGTCTAACCCGGGGCAGTACCACGAAGGACGCAAGGTCCGAGGCAGCGGGGAAAGGTAGTGACTCAGGTCAGGCAAGAAAAACCACACACTGGGGAGCGGCCAGTGTAAGAGCGAGCTGCCTTGCTCCCACTGACTGGTAACAGACTGACGGTGGGGTTTCCGAGCAGACCGACTTAGGTCCGATTTTAGGGTATCGGCACGGGGTGGGGAGCACACCTGGCAGTCGTAGAGACGCGTGAGCTGTTCTAAGATCCACTCCTCCAGGTTGAGGCGCTTCCGTAGCTCCTTGCGGTCGTACTTGACGGTGACCTTCCCTTGCCGTCTCACCGGGCCATCATCATCGGCGCCCCCCGGGCCTTCGCCTGCGGCCCCTGGGGGACTCTGGAAGTAGACGCGGGGCCCTGTGCTCCCACTGCCCGGCCCGGGGGCCGGGGCAGCCAACGCCGCGCCCCCCGCGGGGCCGCTGTCCGCCATGGCGGCCGCCGGGGCCACGTGCGCGCTCGGGCCCCTCCCTGCGCCGCCGCCTCCCGGACGCCCGCCGGCTGGCTCCGGGCCGCTGGCTCCGGTTAGCTCGCGGGCTCCGCTCCGCGCGGCTCCGCGGCGAGGGCGGCGGCGGGGGCGCCCGGGGGCAGCTGCAGCATGCGGAGCCCCCGGGCTTGGCCTGGCCGCGCCCCGCCCCCTCCCCACCGATCCGCCCGCCCTTTGTCCCCCGCGGCCGCCGCCCGAGCCGCCGCCGCCGCCGCCGCTTTCTCTGTCTTGCTCTCTTCCCCCGCCCCCCGACCACACCCCCTTAAAGGGCCAGCCGGCTTCAGGCCCCCTCTCCCCAACCCCGCCTCCTGAAAGGGGATAGGGGAGGATCTAGTTGGCAGGGTCCGGGGCTGTCGGCCGGCCCCCGTTCCTTTAACCTCTGGCCCCAAACCTAGACTTCTAGGTGCCTGGTGCCTGCATCTGCACGCCCGCCGGGACCACAGTCCTCTTCTGACCCTGACTCATTCTGTCACTGAGGCCGAAACAGAGGCGGTCTAGGCATAAGGCCGAGTAGGCGCAGATCCGGTGAGGAACGTGCGGGACCCTTGGTCAGCAAGGGGCGAGAGGACTTCCGCGCGCGGGCCGACACGTGGACGGGGCTTCCGGGGATGGGGGAGTGCAAAGGCGTCCAGGAACTGTCCAGGTGCCGGGACGCCCTACTTGGTCAGGTCTCACGCCCCTCAAGGAGGAGCCCTGGGTGGGGGGCGTGTAGAGTTAGCCCTCTGGCTTACAATAGCCAGAACCCCAGACGACCACCGCCCACCGGCTGAGATGGCGGCGCGCGGGGCATTGTGGGCAATGTAGTCCACGGCTCGGCGACGCTGCCCCTCCCAGCTAGCTGCAGAGCCCGCCGCGAAGCGCAAACTTGTTTGGGACGCGCCCCTCCGGGGTGGCTGGGTTGTGCTGGGCGCGGCCCTAAGCACCCCGCAGCTTGAACGTGTGCAAAGGAGGAAACTCGGGTGCAAAGAGCTAGCATGTGGGGGAACCAAAACTTACGATGATAAAGGTAATAATAGCAGTTGACCCCAAATGAGCGTGTATCCGGACCCCCGTCAGTCAGGCGTGTTCCTCTGTGAGGGCAGCGAATTAGTTTTCCCAGCATCTCCTCCTTCACACTTTAGGAGGCCACGTTCCTTCCTTCTTTCGTTCTGTCTGAAGCTTTAAATTGTCTCATTCATTCATTTCTCTGTCTCTCTTCTAGACAGCGAATTTTGGTGGCGGAGAGCGCTGAGGACTTCATTTGCTAATACCCAAACTTGGGACAGCCTGCTGCTTATCAAACCTACAGGTCTTAGGAAACTATCAAGTCCCTACAGAGCCCCAGCCCCTAAAACTGTCAGATTCAGGCAGACAACTCCATCGTATTGGTTAAACAAATGACCATAAAAGAATGATGGACTTTCTTTAAACAGGAAAATCCGTGGAAACTTCAATTGTGACAACACAGAGTTAAGTCATAGGCATAGGGCTATATAAAGGGGGACCTGGGATTTTGAGCCCAGGCTGTGTGACACCCCCCCCCCCCCCCACACACACACACACGCACACTATAGAGTCTACTAGTCCCTGGCCCAGCCCCAGCCCCACCCCATTTCATACCCCCAGCGAGGTTGGATAGCACTTTCTGGGATGTCTCTATGGTTGGCTCACCCTCTTCAGTCCCAAATAGTCTCAGGATTACAGGGACAGCAGGTCCTAGCCCCTTATGGACATCTTTTCTGTAGATGCTACAAAGAAAAAAGTCTCTTAGCAGATGGAGTTCAGAGAGGGTAAGTTTGGCCCAGGGTCTCTCGGATGGTACTGCATCCAAACTCAAACTCAGGACTTTGGGCTACTTATGCTTCTCTCTCTCTCTCTCTCTCTCTCTCTCTCTCTCTCTCTCTCTCTCTCTCTCTCTCTCTGTCTCTCTCTGTGTTATGAATGTTTTGTCTGCACGTATGCCTATGTACCACCCTGTGGCTGTAGAAGTCAAAAGAAAGCTTTGAATTCCCTGGAACTGGAGTTAGAGATGTTTGTGAGACACCATATGGGTGCTGGGAATTGAATTTGGATCCTCGGCAAGAGCAAGTGCTCTTAACTGCTAAGGCTCTCTCAAGCCCCCTTGATGCTATTTTTGGAGAGAAGCCACAAAGGCTAGGGATGTAGGTCAGGGGTTGAACATTTGCCTAGCATATGCAAGGGCATGGGTTTGATTCCCAGCCCTGTAAAAATGAGATAAAGGGAGAGGAGTCTGGGGAGGTAGCTCCCTTGGTGTAGTGTTTGCCTAATATGCACAATGCCTTGGGTTCAATCCCCAGCACCATATAAATTGTTTGTGGTGGTGCACAATTATAATCACAGTTGTGGAGGCAGGGGGATTGGAAGTTCAGGGTATTCTTGGTTACTTAGTGAGTTT